TGTGGGATGTTGGTGGATGAGTGTGGGGGTGTGTGAAGGTGTTGGTAGAGAAGGGGTGTGGGATGTTGGTGGATGAGTGTGGGGGTGTGTAAAGGTGTTGGTAGAGAAGGGGTGTGGGATGTTGTTGGATGAGTGTGGGGGTGTGTGAAGGTGTCAGTAGAGGGAGGGATGTGGGGGATAGTAATGGTGGAGAGGTGTGGCTAGCAGGCGGTGGTGAAGGAACGTGTGGTATTGGAGGAAGGTGTGGTGGTGGGGCGGGGGTGGTGGTTGTTGGAGTAGTAGGAGAAATGGAACTGATACACCAGGACTGAATCATACTCTTCTCCATTCCTGATTGAGAAACGTGTGGAGTACAGCGTGTCGACAGTCCATATACCTACATGGCTTGACGTTCACTGAAGCATAGCGATATTATTTTAAAATGTTGTACACGGTTTTTGTCACCGTTCAATAACTAAAAAAAAACGCTTAAAATTTGAAAAAAAAAAAGGTTTCAAAAGAAATAGATAATTAAAGTTATATGCTAGGTTTGTTTCATTTAAAAAAATCAATCTACTCAAATAAATAAATTTTTTTTTAAAATTCAGGTTTCAAATAATAAAAAAAAAATAGATTTAAAATTGTCAAGAGCCAAACTCAATTACAACCAAAATAAACAAAAATAAACTTCTCCAGTAAACAACCAAGTCCCGTAACTCTTTAGCACTTAGCCTACTCGTCAACAGCAACATATTTTAGTGTTACAAGTTCTAAAATACGATTTAATTAAAGTTTAGGTTTAGGAAACAAATTTACAGCCTTGGAATTAAGAAGTTAAATGGTATTTACTAAGCATAAGTATTAGATTTTTAAAAACAATGTACTATGTATTTTTTCTATTTGTAAACAAAAAAAACCCTTATCGTGACAGGTTATTATAGTGCTAATTAAAAATAAATAAATAGATACTTGAAAAACGTTTAGGGAATCTGAGTTTTAAACAGAACTTTAATGTAAAGTGCAACAAAATATTCTTCGTGAAATAAACAACACGATATTATTAGCTTGACAACTTCAGTAATGCTTTTTTTTTCAAGGTGAATGTGAATTTCTTGGTTAGTTCCCTTGGCTTAGAAATCTTTCTGTCTGTTACATCACACTGCAACGCTACGCCTCGCCTCGAATTGAGCGTGGCTGGGTGGTGGTTACTTTTTTTTTAGCCCGCTCCCACAATACCTCCGGTCGTCGACCTAGTTTCCAACTGTAACATGCGATCGGGTCAGCGAAAACTTTGCACATTCCAGTCTCTTATTTTCCCCTCTAAGTTTTCTCAAAACTTCAGTGAAAGTAATACGTTTAAATGTGTTTTAATTTAAGAAGCTACTGGTAAAACATTTAGTTTTCAAATGGGATTTAATGCGCATTGTTGATTGATTGATTAAGGTGATAAACAACGCTATTGACGCAGACGGTTATTTTCGGTATCCTTGAGCTAAGCTCCGCCCCTAACCCAGTTTTTCGTCGAATGCCGTGAGGCCGTCGTTTGCCCTTGGTGCGTTGTGAACTGCGCCAAATTAAGAGAAAGGTTAACTTGCTGTACAAAATATTTATTAAATAAAATACAGGTTTATTAATAAAGCTGGATTTTAATTAAATTTACGTATAAATAAACATAAGCTACAAAACGTTTGATTTAATCTGAAATAAAAATATTCCCCTACTAACACGTGCCTTTGTTTGCGTTCAAGGTCATGACGTCAGCACTATGCTGGAGTTAGCCCCGCCCTGTTTTTGTACGTATCGCCCCCTCAAGGTTTAGAGTATTTTTTTGACCTAGTTCTCAATGAAGCCGGCAAGGTAGAGAACTCGCTCAGCCAAGCGGTATCGAGCCCGGCCCTACGTAGAAAGAAGAATAAAAAAAAAAAGCCAGCGAGGTGAGACTTGATGACGCAAATACCTGAATGCAGACCTCTCCGTTAAAACGAAAAAAAAAAAACCAACAATTCTTGACTGCCTGGAACTGCCGCATTTAGATTTACCTGACATTCGCTGTGACACCCGAGTTTGTTTTCTTGTTGTCAGATTGTTTATATTCGATACCCGTTCTAGAAATATCGATTATAAAGTAATTTAATTCTCAGTGTTTGAAGGACAATTATTTCTCAAGCAAAAACAGCAAGGATATATTGGATATTATCAGAAACAGAAGACTCTGAAGATAACTAATTGGATCAAAACAAAACCAGTGTCAAGAAAATACAAGTAAGTACTAGACTTAATTAAAATCACTTTAATAATTATTAATTAATTAATTAAAATTAATATTTTATTAAAGCAAACAATAAACAATAATATTAAATAATATTATTTTATAGACAGATCTAGTATTTTTATAGATCTAGGTAGAAAGATCTACATTGAATCATTTAGAATTTAGAATTTAGATCTAGATCTAGATCTAGAATCTTGATTCTAGTTCTAGACTCTAGATCTAATAAAATATTCGATTTAACTTGATTCTAGATCTAGGATCTAGGATATAGTTATATAATATATCTAAGGCTCTAACTACTAGTAACTACTAAGGCCTAAGGTCTAACATTTTATCTTTTTTTTTTTTTAAATGATGGATCTACTAACAACCATTAACCAACCTAAGAAGTTAGATTCCATATCTAAATCTATATATCTAGATATAATTAATTAAATAACGCAAATCAGTTAACTTTCTACAGCTAAAAAACTAGGATAGGTCTCTTATTTATATTTTTGAAGAATGTATCAAGTGTATTATTAGTTTATTAGTCAATACGCGTTTAAATAATTAATTGACACAAATTATTTCACCATATTTTATTTTTGTACTGGTTAAAAAGTAGACACTAGGTTAATTTTAAAAAATCCATGTCCCTGTTTGGTGGAAAATATTAGCGATTGTAATAATCTAAAATAATAAATGTGAAATTTCCCGGGTTATTTCCCTTACATCGTTAGACCTATTTTATACCAACGAAACTACGATTACAGTTTACAGCTAAAGATCAATATTTTTTAAACTGTAAAACACGTTTTGAGGACAAATTTAGTGATCCAAATAAAAGTTAACTTGTGTGAGTGTTTACTTAAAAAAAAAATATTTTAATATTACAGAAGTTCACTTATCATTAGTTAATTGTCAAGGGTTCACCTTGACGTGGGTTCACCTTGTGTCACGCCCTCACCTGTCAAATAGCCTGCAGCAACGTATTCATGTGTAAAGTACTCGAACTAATCCCGCCCCTTCCCCACACTCATCAAAAGCCCCCCTCCCCACCCCGCAGCGATACAGGAATAAGCACTACTTATGACACTACTGGAGTCGCGTGAAGTCAGTGAACTATGTCATTTCCCTGTCCAAACCGTGAAAGTGACTTTAAAACTTGGTCACATGACCTTACCGCGTGGGGGTGGAGCGAGGGGTAGGTGTTGTTTCCCCGACGTCCCCTTAAAAAATCCCCCCCCCCCCCTGAGTTCCAGTATATGATCCCTGTTTTGATTCATTGGTTAAAAAAATAATTGACGTATTACTTTTTTTTAAATTCATAGTGCGTTAGTACTTAGCTAAAGATGATTGGTGAAAAAGATTTATGGTCGAAGTTTAAAAAAAAAACGGACTTTTAAAATTCCGTCGCAGTTGTTTTGTGTACCGCAAGTAGAGGAGAACGGGCAATGGGAAAAAAATATTCCATGCTAAATTCGGACAAACAATTTATTTTTGGCAGAGATGGGATTGCCGCCCCTGTCTGAGTGGCTGGAGTTACCTGCCGGACGAGCCGCATAACATGTTTACATTCCGCGTCATTGCGTCACGTTTTGGGCGGAAAAATTTGCCTGACGTCATTTGACGTTGGCTTTTGAAATGACGAATCATATTGGCAACGGTAGTTCTATTTAAATTTTTGAATTTTTAATTCGATCCTAGACGCCCCCGTAAATATTTAGGGATTGGAAATAAATTTAAAAAATCGATTTATCGATGACGATTATAATTATTACCGATATTAGTGATTCAATTGTTCAAAGCGTATTAGTAAGCCTAATTAAAAATATTAATTAAAAAAAAAACAAAAAAAAAATATTTAGATAAATGACAAAGCTTGTTAAAACTAAGCACGCGATGACATCATTATTTCGGTCAGTTAAAAATAGTCCGGTTCAAGGTAAGTCACATGCGGGTTGGCCTTTGATACACCTTTCAGTTCACGGCTTCAGGTAAGCCAGTATTCAAATAGCGGATTTAAAATAAACACATGGGACGATCGCCGATAAAGATTTTTTCGCTCCGTCATCCCGCCCAAGTTAACCAATAGTCTATAAGGATCTTTTTTTCAATAGGTTACAAAGGTAAACATACTTTGTTTAAATAGTGACTGCATAGGGGTCAAGGTTTTTCTTATCTAATGATCGTGGTCATCTATTTGAGGTTAAATTTGTCCTTAAATCACCGTTGTTAAAAGATACGGGCCGCCAAGTTATATAACTAGATTAAAAAAAAAGAAATAATCAAGTGAGTTAATTTTGCGGCTTCAAGTTATATTTGACCTCTAACTTGGGCACGTTTAGAAAGTATTTTTTTTATACCAAACAGGCGAGTCTAGAGAGTATTTGACGCACCGACAACCTCTAAAATTAAAACCACGCAACCTTTTCCTGGTCTGCCGAGCTCGACCAATACTTGTTCAGCGATTGGTTTGGGCAAGGTCGGTTTGCCGAGTCACCAAGTGCCCTCGCATGGCCTCGGTCGTGGAAAAACTGTAGCTTTAAGGCCACGGGATAGCGCGACTGTTACTTTAAATAGACTCGCGTCTCGCGGGGAATGGGGGCAGGACACTGCCTTGCAGACAACTGCATCGACCCGAGTGCGTTACACACACACACACGCACGCGGCGCGGTTCGGATATTCTCGGCGAAAGTCGTCTCGTCCTTGGCTACACCAGCGGGGGTAGGGGAGCGGGGAAAAAACTGTGTCGGGAAGGGAGAGAAGCCGAGCCAACGACCTAGCGCTGCCTTCTCAGCGAACAGTAGACTCGTGCGAGTGAGATAAAAATATCCCCAACCATTTGCGTCATGACCGAAAAAACTCATTCATGCAAATGTGCGAGCGAAGCAGACTAGAAGTAGGAGGGCTTGCGGCCCCGCGCCGCGTGACAGCCGATTGGCTGCTTCTCCCGTGAACTGGGTTTGCACTTTATTTTTCGTCACGAGAGCGAGGGACGGTCACTGTTAAAATAGTTTACTTGCGTTCCACACCGATCATTCGGCATGGTAGTCTCATCGTGTGCACTTATTTACGTTTGACTTTCTTGCTGGGAGTTTTACCTGTTTGAAAAAGTTATAGGATACAAATTCGTTGTTGTGTTTCTGACTTAACGGATTTTATTTCTCGCGAGGGAAATATACTTTAATTTTTTTTCGTAAGTTATTTTGTCTTACCTGTTCAACTTTAACTTTGTTATTAAATAGATGATTTTATAATTGTTATTAAAATAATTATGAATTATATTAATTACACATTAATTACAAAATTACAGTCTTTTTATTTGATCAATTTATTTTGCCTTATTTTTAAGATATCAAATATTTAAAAAATTTTTTTTGTAATAAAGATCTAGATCTAGGTCTGGATCAATCTAGATTTAATTGAATAAAAAATATAGGCCAATGTGCGCATTTATAACTTAGGCCTATACGATAATATTTTAATATATAGTCCCTATAATATATATAATAAATCTAGACCAGTACCAATCACTAAAAATTAATTATTATCACAAATTATTTGTGGATAAATAATAAGTCATACTCTAGATCTAGGTGTATCTGTTCCAGTTTAATTAATCTCTTCTGTAGTAATTTTAATAACCTTATCACGTGACCTTTAATATTAGTATTTTTATTTTTAAAAAAATAGCATAATTTTAGTTAGTTGTTTTAGGGACTTAAATTTATTTTAAAAAAATGTTTAGACCCAAAAAATAATTTTTTTTTTTTTAAATGGCATAGTCTAATCTCTTCAATTTTTTTTTGTCCTTTGGTAATTTTTTTTTTAATCGATATTTTTCTTTCCTCCTTCTAACAGCCGACCTCAACAAATACACCCCCAAGTTAATGGAGGTGCTCCACCGCCCAGGGGCGCTCTACGGTTCCCAACCCTCTGCCATGTTCGCACCTGGTATGCAACGAATGTTCACCCCACCCTCTGACGTCTACTCCTGCTACTCCTTCGAGGCCAACACCCCTTCCAGGACCCCCACCCCCGAGCGGGCGGGTCGCATCCACTCCAAACACGGCGTCATGATGGACGTGACCAGCCACGCCACCACCCTCCAGTCGGTGCTGAGGGGTGAGATCCCCGCCGCCTACTCGCACCTGGCCACATCGGCGTCGTCCTCAAACTCATCCTTGTCGACCTCCCCTACCATGTCGTCCTTCTACTCCCCTCACACATCATCTATGGAGCTAGACTCTCACCACCTCCACCACCACCTGCTCCGGCCCGTCCCCAGCCCCTGCCCCAGCCACCACAGTTCCCTCAGCTACAGCCCCCGGCCACAGTCTCACGAGTCACACACGTCCCAGGACTCAGACGTCCAGACCGAACCTATGGACCTTAGCTGTAAAAAAACATCCAGAAAAAGAACAGCCGTCTCGGCATTTTTGGACGCCTCCTCTAAACACGACGCCTCCCCCGTCCTCTCCTCATCACTTCCGGCTAAATTTAACGTCTCCTCCGAGTTCCTGTCCACACTTCCGTCATCATCATTCACATCTTCCAGCTCGCCGTCTATGCACAGTTTTCCACCAAGCCCAGGCGATGGCCAGCAAGGAGAAGAATTCTCCCTCCTCCGCAACCTGCTCAGCGTCGGCAAACACTTCTCAAACTCCACAGGGCTCAGTAACTCCACCCCCAACTTGAGCTCAGAACGAGGTTGTGAATCCCCCGCATCAGACTCCTACCCCAGGACGCCGGTTACCGGCACAACCAAAGTCCAGCTAGCCAAGAAAAATCTCTTCCCCGTCAGCGCCCGGGTATCAGACTGGCTAGTTAAGATCGTCCAGTTCGCCAAATCTATCCCAGAATTCTCCTCCCTGTCCCACAACGACAAGGTCACCCTGACCCTCAACTCCTGGAGTCGTCTGATGCTGCTCTACATGGCCGAGAGCAACTTCCAGTTTGCCGTCACCCCCATCCCGACAATAGACTCGTCCAGTGTTGAGTCCAGTCCGTCACAGGATGAGCCCACCATGAAATCTGTGGAGGGTGTGCAGACATTTATCAAGAAATGCCAACAAATGTCAGTAGATAGCAAAGAATATGAATTCCTTAGAATGCTGGTGCTATTCAATGCAGGTAAGAATCTGCCCATATTACCTTGATATATATATATATATATATATATATATATATATATATATATATATATATATATATATATATATATATATATATATATATATATATATATATATATATATATATACACTCACCTGTATGATAGAAATAAATATTTTGACAATGTTTTAACATGACTAGTAGGCTATCTGACAAAGTTGACTGGATTTAGAAGTCAAAGTGTGGCAGTAGGAATAACCACTCTAGAACTAGGTCTAGGGGTGAAGGTCTGCCCTTGACTAGCCAGTTAGTTGGGTTCGGTCACGTAGAACAAAGGTCAATGTTTACCAACTGTCAGGTAGTGTTAAAATATGTATCTGGTTAGACTGGTAAGTTAGACTTAACAAAAAAAAAATACACAAAAAAATAAAAATAAATAAAAAAGTCAGGTAAAGTTAAAACAACCTTATCAAATATTTTTTTTATTCTGGTGACCTGGCCAACTTAATCAGGACGCGATGACTTGCTGTTTTTTAAATGACATTATCCGGTTAAAGGGATGAACAAGAGGCGGCCATGCGGTCACTTTTAGGTTTGGTCAGCAGGGGTCAAACGTGCGACTTCTTGACCCTTAGCGGGAGCGACGTGACCCGGCCGTTACGGTGGTTTGGTTAGGGGAGGGGGGGGGGGGGGGGAGATGCCGCTGGTCAAGGAGATAGGTCAACGTTCTGCCTTGGTACCCACCACGCGTGTGTACTCAGGTAGAGTTCAAGGTCTGACACTCCCCCCTCCCTCCCATCCTCCGAGACGCAGCGGGGGCTGCCCGCGGGTTTAATAGTGTGTGTGGTCATACAAGTAATAATATACACAGTTACCTCCCCTTTTCATTCAACCTTTGTAAATAAACAAAAGGGTTAACAATTTATCCATAAGCCCCTTGTCCAAAATATATTGCTTTGTATGTAAGGAGGAAACTTTTGATAAACGTCAATAACTCCCACGCGATTTGGTCATTAACACTCCCGCCCCTCCCTCGTTCGACAGCGTTGAAGCTAATGGCGATTTAAAAGTCAGCCTCAACAAATTAAAGCCGTGACCCCACGGGGGCAGGGAAAACGAGGTCAGACGAGCCGGCGTTTAATCGACGCGGGATCGTCTCGTTCGGCGTTCACTTTTGCCCGTGCACTTGTTCACGTGACATGCACGCGGCTCTATATTTACACCCCAATAAAAACGTAGGTGTGTTGATATATATTTGTTGTATGTAATAAATATAGAAGCAAAGCGATTGGTTGGGTTACGCAGTTTATTTTATGTAGGGAAGATAAATACAGGGAGATAATTTTAGGCGAATTCATCGAAGGGAGATAATATGCATGTACCGATTTTTCGTTTCTGTTTGACAACGGAGTTGTCCTTGATATTATCTGTGCAATAGCCGATAGCAGATGGGGTCGTGTGTAGCATTTAACCCTTTAGCACCCTTTACTGTAACAGTAATTTATCTCGAGTCGTCCCGATGTTGGCAGCGTATCAGATAACCTACTTGCTTGTCATCAGCATATTGCCTACATTTAGAAAAATAGGTCAACACAAACAGTTATATGATACAACAACACCTTTATATAAATCTCAAATGAGCTAGTTTTCGTCCTGAATTTAAATCATTTTATATAAAGTAAAATATCTAAATCCTGCTCTTGTTATTTTGTTTTTGAGTAGTCTTCTATTCTGATTTATTATGCACAAATTTAGAAGACCCATTTATGGATTGTGTCCTTGTTCTAAATAAAGAACGTGGACATAAGGGCTGGGAAAGCTCTGTCCACTCTTATCTCCCTTTGATTATTTTTGGTCACTGAAGAGTTATCCTCATACAGCTTGGTTTGACAATCCCTTAAACCTCCCGCGGCTGAACTTGAAAGCTCCTGTGGCTAATTTCATCTTTTTTGTTTCTATTCCTGGCTGTGACCATGTCACATGACCTTGTCCTTCAGCCATCTTTGTGTGTTTGTTAAATTCTTCAGCCACCGAGCAGGGCCCATCCAAACAGTCTAAATTAGTTTAGTGCGGCCAAAATAAGACTGCATGTACACAAAAAAAGCACAAGGTCCTGGATACAACTATAAAAAGGGTTGAAAGCTAGTTCAAGCTGGCTCGCTAATGCAGTGTGGTGAAACCGATGTTTAAAAGTAAATATTTTCAAGCTGCCCACAAGGGGGCAAACAAATCCATTTAAACTGTCCCTTTAGATTCTCAAGGCCTTTCTTGGGGTGTTTTATTTCAAGGTTTTTGAAGACTTTTTTTTTCGATTTTTTTTTAAAGACCTCTTTTTTTTAAATAACTGACCCGGACTGTATGACTTAAGAAATGTAAAGATATTTTCATGTAAATTTTAGATTTGGCTTTTGAAACCATTTTATTTACAATGTTTAATTTTTTCCTTCTCCAGGCTATGTAGGTCTCTCCTGCCCAGAGACGATTGACCAGCTCAACTCAGTCGTCCAGCAGCTCCTCCAGCAGCACGTGCGGGTCAGCAGACCCAAGGACGTCATGCACTACTCCCGTCTGCTCATGTGCCTGCCCTCACTCTACGGCACCAACAGCAAAATGTTCGAGTCCCTCTTCTGCAAGCACATCAGCAAGAACACGGACATGGAAGTACTGCTCAAGGAACTCCTCCAGAACATGTCCACCAGTCTCTAGCCCCAAGAAAAAACAACACTAGTACATTTATGACAATTTTTACCCATACACCACCTTCATGCCTCATAGTCATTTGTGACTGGAAATTTTTTTTTTTTTTTTTTTGAAAATTTTATCAAGATGGCTGACATTTTGAAGATAACGAATGTTCACCATATCTTCACAAACAGAATACAGTTTTAAATGTATTTTGGGAAAGGAACATAAGAGAATATGAACTTGATGAGTAATTTATTCTGCTGTGCCAGGAGGAAAAAAAAACTGTATGCCTGTTTGTTGTACCTGGGAGTAGAAGACATAGGAACTGTTTATTTTTAGTTTGCTAAGTTGCTTAGCAACTGTTGACTTTTGGCTGCATTGGCTAAAAAAACCTGGACACCTGTTAAAATGTTGAAGCGCTGGTGATAAACAATACATATAATTCAGGTATAGTGCAGTCTGTGATTGGCTGATACTAGTTTGGCGATCGATTTCTGATTGGTCAACATGATTTGCCAGTTGGCTCTTTTTGGCTGTGGGCCGGACTGTTGCATCAGCAGAAATGTGGCTACGTTAATCAAAATGGTTGCGCCACACAGGTTTCAAAGACAAGGACGGGAACTGAGCAGAGTTTAAGAACTAAATATGCCTATGATTTCTTTTTGGAATATGATACGACTACATGTTATGTGTAATTATTGGTTAAAGTTGTAATGTGTACGCAATTGCTATCTATGATATGCTTCTGCGTCACACAAGTGCAAGTTGAATGCTGGGTTTGAAAGTTGAATGTTGTAGATCTGCCAATTTTTGCCATGATTAATTTAATGTGTCTGATCTCTTTAATTGACACTGTCCACTTCATCATTAACATGAAATTAACATTACCACCATAGCGGCAAGTCAGCTCTCACTAATTAAAAAATTCCACTATTTATCTTTACATAATAAAAAAAAAACCAATGTCATAAATGCTTGATTATAATATATCTTCAACATTACCCTGTTACGTTTTACGTAACAATGGCACTGAAAATTACTTTTGATTTGTAAATTTAATCAACTTGTCGTTTCTTAGAAATCTCTGTGGATGCAAATTTATGTTAATGCAACACGTTTATGCTAATGCAATGGTCCGTTTTTATATTTCATAACAATTGTGTAAGAATGGTACTCTGATATTTTTACTTTCCTTCATCTAGATCTCTAATGTAAGGGAACGTAAGGTGGATTTTAAATTATTCTTTTTTATTAATTACTTCTAATATTTTTTGTTTGTATAAATGTTACTTAAATATTTTTACTTCTAATTTAGTATCTAGGTTTTTATTTAAGTTTTATTTGTTGCAAAAAAGTAACTGTAAATTGTTGTGTAAATATATTCTAATTTATTGAACAGCTTGGGAATATATTCATTTCTTCACATCAAAGATTCATACGCATGACACCGTATCCTGTTTCATATAATGAACCAACTCTCTCTACAGTAGGAAAATTCCCGCAACATTCCACCCTCAACAAAATCTCAAAATATTTTATCAGATAAAAATACCCCGACCATATCATATTGTGTCACAAATCTGGTAAGATTCCATTTTTTTAAAAAATAATTTCAATCAACTCTGCTTCAATTATTTAAACAAATTTATTCCATCAACAAAATAACACAAAATAATTTTTAAAATGTTACTCTTCACCAGCAACAAATATCTATTTTAAATTACTAATTTCCAAGGAAGTCAGCATTTAACATGATATTTTAAAATTACAATATTTATTTCTAGGAAATAAAGTTCTAAAATACTCTGCGCTAGCAGATCTTGTATTCCAAATGATATTTAAGCATTACTTGTGTTCATATTTATCCAACCAATTCCACCAGCAAAAGCTCTGATGGGCCAACAAGTATTAGAGATCAGAGAGTGAATGTTTACACTGCCAGTTCTAGTTTAACCAACTTTATGTGTAGTCTACCCTACTTATATAGTACTATGTAAATCCATGAAGTTACCTAGCCATATTTTTCTAAGTGTAAAGTAGACTACTTGATAGTTAAAAGCATAATTTTAGATTCAATATCACAGACCTGTTTAAGTTTTCTTCACAAACATTGATTTTTTTATTTTTAGAAACTTTTTAAATTTATTTTATTTTTAAAGAAAAATAACATTTCTAAATTTTAGGCAATTTGTGTCAGAATAAGATACTAGCAACATTTAATGATGTTTGATTGTAGTTTTTGTCAGATACTCGCTGTGATTGTTCCTGTTGAATGGTTCAACTGTGTGATTGTTGTGATTATTACGCAGGCTCTGGTGTTCAGGGCCTACGTGTGGGATGTTTTATTTTATGCTAATTTTTATAAATGTTGAACCAATCATTTTTAAGATGGACGCTTGTATGCTTGAGCCTTGCTTGATGTCTGCTTGACATTTAGATGTATGTATTTATAGTCTAATTTATTAAAGAATTAAATTATTTTCAAATTGAAAACATTGTCTTGATTTATTGATTATCATTAAAAAAGATCTGAGTGGTATTTGACTTTAGTGAGACACATTCAATGGCTGAGGGTGTCATGGCCGCCCGACCCAGATGGGCTTTGATGTTAGGGCTTTCTGATCCAGATGGGCCTCAAAGTTGAAGATGGTAGGGCTATCTCTATCTGACCCAGGTGGGCTTCAAAGGTGATGATGTTAGGGCTAACTGACCCAGATGGGCTTCAAAGGTGAAGATGTTCGGGCTAACTGACCCAGATGGGCTTCAAAGGTGAAGATGTTCGGGCTAACTGACCCAGATGGGCTTCAAAGGTCATGATGTTAGGGCTAACTGACCCAGATGGGCTTCAAAGGTGAAGATGTTAGGACTATCTGACCCAGATGGGCTTTGATGATGTTAGGGCTTTCTAACTCAGATGGGCTTGAAAGGTGATGTTAGGGCTATCTGAACAAGATGGGCTTGAAAGGTGATGTTAGGGCTATCTGAACAAGATGGGCTTGAAAGGTAATCAACATCTTTATTGATTAAAGTTGTGTCCATCCATTCAATTATTGGCTGGTACATAACAAAAAAGAAACTGGAAGCTGTTCTTTTATTGGCTGTTATAAAATGTGTCAATCAATAAGCCATAATATGATTGGCTGTTACGCAATAGGTAATGAACAAAGCAATTAGATGAAAGGGAGCTTTACTAACACACCGCGTTTACACTTGCGACATGTATACTATACACGCCATACGTTAATTTTATCAGAACATGTATAGGGGTGGGGGGGGGGGGGGGGGTGGGGGGCTACTCACTTATTGCGAAGTTGTTTTTTCTAGACACGTGTATTATAGGCCTACATATCGCAAGTTTAAACGCCGTGTAAGACACCCAAGAAAACCAATCTAGGTTGGTTGACCTTGTGGTAAAATCCCAGGTACTTAAAAAGTCTTAAGGATATTAAGGGTCACGTGATCTGAAGATAACCAAGCTAATAAAGCTTACAGTTTAACATTTTCCGAATAAAAAAAAAACAACCCAACACCAACCCGGATCTGATAGTCCAACTAACACTAGTCAGCAGGCGAGAGGATCCGTGTCATGTAATGTCACGTGCTCATGCGACAGCTTCCGGGTCAACGTGATTGGATGCTGGGATTAGCCATCCCCCATCCGCCTGATTACCCTTGGCCCCGGGTATTTGGAAAACCCACGTCAAGTAATTCCGTTAATAGTCTAGTCCTTGCCACAGCTAAACCTGGCTCCCACGGGCTTTCATAAGCCCAACACAAAAGACAATTTAAAAAAAAATATACTAGAATGTCATTGTGACATTGTAATCCAGTGATTTAAGTCGGTGATTTTTAAAGAATGCAACAATCAGGACTCTGATAATATATTATGGAATGGCGTGGTTGAATGGTAGAGCATAAGTAAAAAAAGTAAAAGTTCCATTTTCAAACCTGACGATTTATAGGGCAAGCGAAGTAGAGTTCACTTATTTCTGTGACCTCTGCATGTGAAGAGATAGTGTGGTCAGCACTATGCCCAGCAGCCTTTACTTTCCCTAACGTGAGTTAGGTACCCATCAGAGTTGGGTGCAGTGTTTCTTCCAGACTTTTTTCTCCGGGGGGGGGGGGGGCACTTGAAATTTTCGGGGGGGGGGGGGGGCGGACACTGTTAAAAGTATATATTTTCTATATAAATTATATAAATTTCATTTCGTTCGGGGGGGGGGGGGGGCGGTAAAAATTTTGTGGTATACATTTTTACATATATTTGTAATTTATATTTTTACATACATTTTGGTTGTCTAATAACGTATACAAATAGGTGCAGTAGTGTTTACCTGCTTATGTGTCTCGGCATTATAAAATGGCTACGGCAAGCAGAAGCTCTTAACACTTGTGGCCAAAAAGAAAAGTATGCTAAAAATAACTCTGACTCAACAAACAATCCCAATAAAACTTTTACACGAAACAAAAAAAAAACTTTAAATTCCTATTTTTATAACGCTTCATTGGTGAAAAAAAAACAACCCAACTCCATGGAATAAGCTAAAGGTCATTGCCTACGTCATCAGGCCTCACTAACGGAGTTTTTTTTTTTTTTTTTTTAACGCGTAGAAAATAAATAGAGCCTCTAGACGTCCGCGCATCGATCTGACGGGACCCTGAAACGTTTGGATTGGGAGGTGGAGTCGGCGCGACCTTGGCACGCCGCCATCTTGTATAGGCAACTTATTTGACCTCACGTTATTTTTATTCTGGGTCCTGATTGGCTACGGGAGAAAAAAAATGCATTTATTAAGGCAGTGGTGGGCGTTTCTTTTCAACATTTGTTGCAGTTTGAATAATAGTTTCAACATTTGTTGGAGTTACAATTATAGTTTCAACATTGTAAAAAAAAAGTCATGAATTATTTTACCTATTTCTGCGACTAAAAAAATAGGATGGTCAGCACTATGCCTTTACTTGCCTTAACGTGAATCCGTTACCCACCTGAGCTGGGTGGACTCGGTGACGTTCTATGAACACGGGATTCGAACATTCGAGTTAGAAGTCGTACGTTCTTTCATCCAACCATTATTTGTTATCGTAGTACAATAATATTTTCCACGTATGTTGCAGCATGCATATTAGTACAGACGAATTAGTTCTTATGTTAAATAATTTTGAAAGATGATCTTCCGCTAGAGCATATCAATACTACACTAAGACATTTGGGTTTGAAGACTTAACATGTCTGTGGCTGAACTCCTATCTAGAAAAAACAAGGCTGCACGGTGTGGTTGGTTAATAGACCCTTAGGTCTCTAGATCGAATTGGGTTTGAAACCGCGTGAAGCACGTGAGTACCTAAGTGAAAGTAAAGATGGTTGGACAGTTACTCAGACCTCTCATGGGGTAAAGTCTTGGACGTAAGAGAACTCTACTTCCACTGCCACATTGACCACAGGGTCAGAAAGGATAACAAAGCGAGGCTGGTGCTTGGTGCCGTGTAGGGTGCCTGGACAGTCCAAGAATCTGATGTGGGTGTGTTGGGTGCCTGGACAGTCCAAGAATCTGATGTGGATGTGTTGGGTGCCTGGACAGTCCAAGAATCTGATTTGGGTGTGTTGGGTGCCTGGACAGTCCAAGAATCTGATTTGGGTGTGTTGGGTGCCTGGACAGTCCAAGAATCTGATTTGGGTGTGTTGGGTGCCTGGACAGTCCAAGAATCTGATGTGGATGTGTTGGGTGCCTGGACAGTCCAAGAATCTGATGTGGATGTGTTGGGTGCCTGGACAGTCCAAGAATCTGATGTGGATGTGTTGGGTGCCTGGACAGTCCAAGAATCTGATGTGGATGTGTTGGGTGCCTGGACAGTCCAAGAATCTGATGTGGATGTGTTGGGTGCCTGGACAGTCCAAGAATCTGATTTGGGTGTGTTGGGTGCCTGGACAGTCCAAGAATCTGATGTGGATGTGTTGGGTGCCTGGACAGTCCAAGAATCTGATGTGGGTGTGTTGGGTGCCTGGACAGTCCAAGAATCTGATGTGGATGTGTTGGGTGCCTGGACAGTCCAAGAATCTGACGTGGATGTGTTGGGTGCTTGGGCAGTCCAAGAATCTGATGTGGATGTGTTGGGTGCCTGGACAGTCCAAGAATCTGATGTGGATGTGTTGGGTGCCTGGACAGTCCAAGAATCTGATGTGGATGTGTTGGGTGTACATAGCAGATCCTGATAGAAAAGTTGGAATCAGACAGTGGTGACCATGGAAACAGGCAACTTTACATACATGGAGACCACTGAACATACACATAATAAATATCAGATGATCACGTATAGACAACATGACATATACATAATCAAAGCCAGACATACACATAGGCGCAACATAACTTACATATAATTAAAGCTGGGATAAGCCTACGCATATAGACACAACATAACATACACATAATTAAAACTTAGATATGCCTATATATATATATATATATATATATATATATATATATATATATATATATATATATATATATATATATATATATATATATACAACATACACATAATCAAAACTTAAACACACACATAGACGCAACATAACATACACATAATTGAAACTTAGATAGGCCTACACATATAGACACAACATACACATAATCAAAGCTTAGACACACACATAAAAACAACATTATATATACAGAATCAAAGCCTAGACACACATCATACACTAACAAACTATACACCACATAACATAACATAATCAAACCTTAGATACACAATATAAATTCCACAAATAATCTGCACTTACACACACACATAACACCACATAACACATATAATCAAAACCCAGACCCCTATATGCACCACATAGGCCTGTACATAAAAACCAACAAAGGCAGTCTCTCTTCATTGTGACGTTGTGTTCCATGCTAAACTATGTGAAATGTCGCAGTGTTCTAGACATTCGCTCTATATCATTTATTTAAGTCCACGATCAATGGCCCCCAGAAGCACATTGACCTTGAGCGCGAGGGAGGTAACCGCTAGCACGAAAAGGAAGTTAACAAAGAGACAAAGGGATTTAATAACTGCATCTAGTTTCTGGAGAATTTAATGCGTTTTTTTTTCTTTTTGAGTTTAATTTTAATGCAGACAAAACATTTTATTCGACACATATTTATAAAGTTCAAGTGCTTAATGTTATGGGAAAACATCTTTATATATATAACAAAACTAATATAAATAATATAGTATAACAATTTGGATATAACACACACACACACTCTCACACACACATATATATATATATATACATATATACATACACACACACACACACACACACACACACACACACACATACACACATACACACATACACACATACACACATACACACATACACACATACACACATACACACATACACACATACATACATACATACATACATATATATATATATATATATATATATATATATATATATTATTTTTTTTTTATTTTTATTTTTTTATTTTTTTTATTTTTACTTATTTATTTCTTTATTTATAAACAAAAATTTCCCACAAATTATTTAAACGATGCAAAACTAAAATAAACTGACTTAACAAAAGTAGAAAACGAATAGATTTGATAAATACCTTTTTGTGACCAGCTACCAAATAAAAACAATGCCAGTACAAGTTTTTCAAAGAGCCGATTGTGGCCACTGGTCCAGCGGGTCATTTAGCCTGGTGAGTTACAACCTACAAGACAATTCGATCACCAGTAACGGCAGAGCTAATCAATACGATCTGTATACTCACTTTGCACTGGGACTTTTTTTTTTTGGCTTGACATTACCAAGACGACTGGTCAACTAAGTGCAGGGAAGACATCAAGTTTTTTACGTTAGTGCAGGGAAGATATCAATTTTTTTAGACACGGTTAGTTAGTGCAGGGAAGACATCAAGTTTTTTTAGACACGGTTAGTTAGTGCAGGGAAGACATCAAGTTTTTTACGTTAGTGCAGGGAAGATATCAATTTTTTTAGACACGGTTAGTTAGTGCAGGGAAGACATCAAGTTTTTTTAGACACGGTTAGTTAGTGCAGGGAAGACATCAAGTTTTTTACGTTAGTGCAGGGAAGATATCAATTTTTTTAGACACGGTTAGTTAGTGCAGGGAAGACATCAAGTTTTTTACGTTAGTGCAGGGAAGATATCAATTTTTTTAGACACGGTTAGTTAGTGCAGGGAAGACATCAAGTTTTTTAGACACGGTTAGTTAGTGCAGGGAAGACATCAAGTTTTTTACGTTAGTGCAGGGAAGATATCAATTTTTTTAGACACGGTTAGTTAGTGCAGGGAAGACATCAAGTTTTTTAGACACGGTTAGTTAGTGCAGGGAAGACATCAAGTTTTTTAGACACGGTTAGTTAGTGCAGGGAAGATATCAATTTTTTTAGACACGGTTAGTTAGTGCAGGGAAGACATCAAGTTTTTTAGACACGGTTAGTTAGTGCAGGGAAGACATCAAGTTTTTTAGACACGGTTAGTTAGTGCAGGGAAGACATCAAGTTTTTTAAACACGGTTAGTTAGTGCAGGGAAGACATCAAGTTTTTTACGTTAGTGCAGGGAAGATATCAATTTTTATAGACACGGTTAGTTAGTGCAGGGAAGACATCAAGTTTTTTAAACACGGTTAGTTAGTGCAGGGAAGACATCAAGTTTTTTAAACACGGTTAGTTAGTGCAGGGAAGATATCAATTTTTATAGACACGGTTAGTCAGTGCAGGGAAGATATCAAGTTTTTTAGACAGTCAATTAGTGCATGAACTTTTACTTAGATAACAATGTCTGTGGCTTTGTGGTAAATTGGTTAACCAATTTATCAACTATAATTTTATCAAAGAGAGTAACATTTTTGGTGCTATTTTCGGTGCAATCAAAATCCTATTATTGTAACAGTTTTTTTTTATATTGGTTTCATGTCTTGACATAAGTACGTTAAGTCTAGGGCACTAATATATGAGATGATGTTTTTGTTTTCGTGACATCAGACACGATCAGTATAGGGCATATACATGATGTTTTTTTTCTTGCCATAAATGGGCATGTGGTCAGTCTACGGCACATAGAGATACTGTTTTTTTTCTTGTACGGTCTTTCTAAGGTACATACGATATGATGATTTTTTTCTTGACGACAAGCTATGTATGGTTTTTTTTATGCTAACCAGCACACTTTTTTTAACATAAATTATATGACACATTCACCCTACACAGTACGTAGATATGAATTTACACAGTCATCATACAGTCGGTAATGATGACACGCTAGCACACTTGAGTGTGTATAGACACGTCTTGGCTTACATAAATAACCTGATAACCCTGATGGGGGTGGGGGAGTGAGGCTGGGAGAGGGGGGGTGAGGCTGGGGGAGGCGAAGTCTTTCGTAACCCATGGAAACATTTCACAAAAGCTGGTACAGGTGGGCGTGGCTGTGTCTACTGGAAGGACAGGCCGTGTCAAGCTGACCTATGCTGATGTAACAGGTCTAACTTTAAAAAGGGGTGGGGGTGTGACAGGGGGTATGGGGTGACAGGGGGTGGGGGAACTACAAGGAAAACCTTACGTCATCGACGGCGTGGAAAATTCGGCCGGTTAGTTGGAGCTATGGACCAGACGATTGTTGAACCAGACTAGACATGACGTGGGGGAGAGGTGAAATAAGGTCAAACGGCAGTCTATTTATAGATATGACGTGCAGTTTTAAGCTTATATATATATATATATATATATATATATATATATATATATATATATATATATATATATATATATAGATATATATATATAGATATATATAATGTATCATACTTATAATGAGTGAGTACCCAATACTATCAGCATTTCAACGCCCCCACCCTTTTTGAACACACCTGAATAAAATTATAATATATAAACGAATTCCGGGGACTATTTTACTGTTACTTGAATTATTTCAGTTCGCCAAAACAGATGAACTATTGAACGAGCTATAGAAAGAACTCACAGTGGACAAAGAGCACTGCTGCTATTATGCACGTGCTGAAGGATTCGACCCTACGGCTGAGGTAAATTAATTCGCACGTGCTTGATTAAAATTCACCAGATCCTCAGATTAACTCACATTCATAATCACAGACACATTCTTTTAGTTTGGTAGTACAATGCCCGTTCACTACTGACAGACTGATGGGCCATACGAACATGAATAGTGACATATCTTTTGATTATCGAACTTTACAACTCTTACTGAGAGCCACAGCATACATTAGTTTTGGTTTTCGCTAGATCTGATAAGCATAAGGGTGAAGTAATTGTGCCTGGGCATTTAAATTTAACTGCCCACATTCTGCCTCTATATGAAGTAGATTACAGAAGGCTGGCGACATAAACTTCGATGTAATCAATAACCACTCTTTTACCACTTTGTACCTGTTTATTCGCTCTATCTTAATTTACCACTCTCTCTGGTGGCTTTGGTGGACTGTGGGACTAGCACATCAACAGATTAGCCTGGGCAATTAAGATTCCAAGAATTAATTAATTACATTAAGATTCGTGGAATTAGTTAATAACATTATCAGTCTTCGAAACCTTAATTACAAATAAGGTTTAACATAATTATGTAATAATATTAAGATATATATTATCTTAATTATATTACAATTCGTAGAATTAATTGATAACATTAAGATACGGATAATTAACTAATATCATTAAGATATATATTGATAATATCCGAAGACAAAACTTTATAATCTCAAATTAATGGACAATAATCGAGTTAATGAAAATAACACAATTGACATAAATTAATTTACTAGCTTAAAGTACTAAAATTAATGGGTTAAAATTAATAAACTAAAAGAAATAAATAATGGACTAAAATTAATAGACTAAGTTTTTAAAAAAAAGACGAAAACAGTGCATTTAATTGTATGAACTTACTGACAAAATAGCACTGTCTGAAAGCGATAAAAGAAATAAGAACAGTTTGGTCTGAATCAGGTTGTCTCCCCTCAATATTTACAGTTGAATGCTCACAACCAGCAGTTTAAAAGGCAATTTATTCACCCACTGACCGATATGTTTGACACCTTTCTAGTGTATGTTTTCAAGTGACCGATATATATATATATATATATATATATATATATATATATATATATATATATATATATATATATATATATATAT